ATTTCTCGCCCAAAAACGACCAACGCCCCCCTCCATGCCCTCCAAAAACGACCAACGCCCCCCTCCATGCCCTCCACCTGGCCCCGGCATCCCAAAGCTTCTGGACCTCTGTTTTGAGAACCCCCGACACCACGATTTCTCGCCCAAAAACGACCAATGGCCCCCTCCATGCCCCCCACCTGGCCCAGGCATCCCCAAGCTTCTGGACCCCTGTCTTGAGAGCCCCCGACCTCACGATTTCTCGTCCAAAAACGACCAACGCCCCCCTCCATGCCCCCCACCTGGCCCCGGCATCCTCCAGCTTCTGGACCTCTGTTTTGAGAACCCCCGACTCCACGATTTCTCGCCCAAAAACGAACAACGCCCCCCTCCATACCCCCCACCTGGCCCCGGCATCCCCAAGCTTCTGGACCTCTGCTTTGAGAACCCCGACCCCGCGATTTCTCGCCCAAAAACAAACCAACGCCCCCTCCATGCCCCCCACCTGGCCCCGGCATCCCCAAGCTTCTGGACCTCTGTTGAGAGACCCCGACCCACGATTTCTCGCCCAAAAACTACCAACGCCCCCCTCCATGCCCCCCGCCTGGCCCCGGCATCCCCAAGCTTCTGGACTTCTGTTTTGAGAGCCCCCGACCCCGCGATTTCTCGCCCAAAAACAACAAACACCTCCCTCCATGCCCCCCACCTGGCCCCGGCATCCCCAAGCTTCTGGCCCTCTGTTTTGAGAACCCCCGACCCCGCGATTTCTCGCCCAAAAACGACCCACGCCCCCCTCCATGCCCCCCACCTGGCCCCGGCATCCCCAAGCTTCTGGACCTCTGGCACGTGGAGGCGTGCTAGAATGCCAAGTCCTGCCTGATAAAACTTCTGGATTCTGGACTGTTCTGAAGGCCCACCCATAGCTCGCACCTCGCTGCACGGATCGCCCCCTCTCCCCGAGGCTCTGTCGGCGCCGAGACACGCCCCTGGAGTTGTCCAAGACGTCCACACCACCCAAGATGGCTTCCAGGACCGCCGAAGAAGCACCGAGAACGCTCCAGGAACACCCCCAGAGAAGACCGCGGAAGCCAGAATCACGGATATGCATCCTGTGTTTTTCAAGATGTTCGTCCTCTCCTGCTCGTCCTGCCCCGCTGCACCACCTACCCCAATCCTCCTTTCCCCGCCCTCCTCTTAATCCCCAGGACGCGCGCCCGGTTGAGCGAAACTTACATGTCTTCCACTTCAATGAGACCTCCTTTGCGTCGCGCGTAACCCCAATTTGGGGTCGGCGGCAGAGGCGGCAGCCTTTAGATAACATCCCTCAAGAACATGAGACCCTCAGTCGGCCAACACAAACAGAACATCCCAGGGAACCCTCCCCAAGATGCACAGGAACATCCAACAAACACAAAGAACTCTGGGGTACCCTCCCCGAACAAACCTCGATCTTATGCCTCGGTCCGACTGCACCCCAAGACCAGGGGAAGGAGGGGGGCGAGGACAATGGGCATGGTGCCCTGCCAAACCGCCTTAGACGCCCTGAAAGCAACCCGAACCATCGAGAGATCTGAACCGCGAGTACGCGAGCAGAACAAGCCAGAAACGGCCATGGTCCAAACGCCCCAAACGCCCAGAAGGTACAGAGGCTACGACGATCCCAAGTCGCTATTCGCTGAAGCAAGCAATGCCACAACCGAGGTCATGCAGCTCATCTGCAATATTCGCACGTCCACACTGGGATGTGAATTCTCACACCCCTACCGAATAGCCTCCCACAAGGTGTGCCAGAACTTAGGCCGAAACGGCGGCACATGCAACCTAAGCCTTTCTCGCCCACGTTCCTTCCCGCTGAAGCCCAACGCGATGAGCGAGGAGCAGGGCGGAAGGAGGACGAGCGAGAAGGAGGGAGGCAGGGGGCAGGGGGGGAGGGGCAGGAAGGGGAGGAGCAGGAGGAGAAGGAGGAGGAGGAAAACGAGGAGGGGGAAAGGAGGAGGAGGAGGAGGAGGAGGAGGAAAAGAGGAGAAGGAGGAAGAGGAGGAGGAGGAACAGGAGGAAAATGACGAGGGAGGAGCAGGCGGATGGGGTCGCGCGGGAGGAGGATGAGGATGAGGATGAGGATGAGGATGAGGATGAAGATGAGGATGAAGATGAGGAGGAGGAGGAGGAGGAGGAGGAGGAGGAGGAGGAGGAGGAGGAGGAGGAGGAGGAGGAGGATGGGGAGGGGGAGGAGGAGGAGCAGCAGAAACAGGAGGAGGGGAGGGACCCCCCCACCAACGCGGAGTCCTCGGCCTCCTCGACCCCGCCCTGCTCGCCCTGTGGGGCACGGGGACATATACGTTTCCCCTGCCGCCCAATTTTTTGTTTTTTTTTTTTTTGTTTTTTCTGGCAGCTCGCTGGGCGCGGGGGGGGGCAGCACGGACAGTGAAAGTCCTGCGAAGAAGGGTTCGAGCAAGGAGCGACAGCCTTTAGCTACCAAAAGACGCGCCCCCCAAAAAGGCTTGACATCTTCCCAACACGCAGCTCGAATCGAAGTTTGGGAATGCAGCCAACCTGCGACATTGAGAATGTCAAACGCAAGAGGTTCAGCAGAGGGAGGCCGAAGACCCCTCGGCGTGTGTCATCAAAAGGCGGAAACTCTTCCTGGGCCAGCAGCTGGCGCGACGACAAGGACCCTATCAGGCAATCTATCATCAAGCGGGACATCGCAAATATCGGGCCCCCGCCTGGACCACCGAGACAAGGACGCCCCCATAGAAAATCGCTGGCTCCCGCGAGGCGCTGTGCGTGGAGTATTTCTTCTTTCAGGTACAGGTAAGCGGACATGGCGGTGACATAATGGCGCCTCAATATCACCCGGATGCGCCGCACTTTGACGTCGCGGCGGTCTGTTTTACCTAGTTCCCGCGCCGTCCGATAGAGAGCACTGGGGGCAGCCGTTGCCATCATCCGTTTGTGACTCGCCACCTTGCGGATTGGAGCGCCGTCTGAAACCTAATCTCACCAGCCCTGTTTGGCGCAGGTGGTCTAACCATACCTTCCGTTCCTTTTCCCACACCCCGTTCCCTTCGTGGAGAGGGGGTCTTCCCCCCCCCCCCCCTCCCTGAGGTGTTTTGGGAGGCGGCGGGGGCGCGAGATGGCAGAGGGTCTGTTTTCGCCCAAGATGGCTCCAAGAGGGCCTCCGATGCTCAAATATGGTTCCCAAGGCGGCTCGGTCTAACAATTGTTCAATCTGGCTTCGATGTGCTTCCAAAGAGGTCCGACGAGGGTCACGATACGCTTCGGGATCTGCTGGGACCCCCTCGAATTCGGAAGGGCACCCCCGGAGCAGTCATAACCATCGCGCGAGCCCCAAGAAACCAAACTCACTCAAACGCCCAGAGGGGACATCAATGATGTTTGCCTTCTCGCCTTGTCACGTCATATGCGCTTCCGAGGGCACATCATCATCATAGCCCCCAAACGGGCTCGAGAGCCCCTCCCAGGCGGCCCCGCGAGCGCCCAATAGCGGCCCGCGAGCGGCCCAAGACACGAAGAGAATTTGCCCCCTCCCCCCCCCCTCCGTTGATCGGCCTCAAGTTAGGCGTGTTTTTTGGAAGCAAGTTCCGTTTCTCTGTTCAGCCCCCAAACTCCGATGAAGGTCTGATTCGTGTCCGCGCTGGAACTCTGATTCAAGTCTGGCCCTCAGCCCAACTCCGATTGAGGTCCGACTGGAACTCTGATTTAACTCTGGCCCTGAGTCCCAAGGCTGATTTGGGTATGACTGGGAACTCTACAAAGTAAGTGCGCTTCTGGTGCGGTTTGAGTCCGCCGAAACCAATGTCGCGGCGTCGGTCCAGAACGTTTCCGGGTCGACCCCGCGCGCATGTGTCTTAAAGAGGAATGCGCCAGCCAAGCGGCAGGTAATGGCTGGGGACCCAGCCGCCCGCCTGCGCACGCCGCCCTGCGGCAGCGCTAAGGCTAAGGCCTGTGCGGGGGGGGCGGGGCTGCGCCCCCCGCCTGCGCGGCCCTGCCCCAAATTGCTCAAAGGCTCACCCGAGGATCGCTCCGCGAGGCTGCCGGCCGCCGCGCCGCGAAAGGGTTGGGGCGGTCACCGCCACCGTGGCGACCGCCCTTACCCCCGCCGCCCACCCTGGACAGGTCGGGGGCAGGCAGCGCAGAGGAGAAGCGCTGCACTTGTCGGAAGGCTCGGGTGCGCGGGAGGCGCCCTGGGAGGTGCCCAGGACGAAGCCGGGGGCAAGGGGCAAGGGTGGGAACCATCGCGAGAGCGAAGGCGGAGGCAGGAACTGGGGTGGGAACGGGGGCGGGGGCAATGGGCGAGAACGACGGCGAGAACGAGGGCGAATTTGAGGGCGGGTACGAGGGCGGGAACGAGGGCAAAAGCGAGGGCGGGAACGAAGGCGGCGACGAAGGCGGTAACGAGGGCGAGAACGAGAGAGATAAAGAGGGCGAGAACAAGGGCGGGATCGAGGGCGAAAACGGGGGCGAAAACGAGGGCGGGAACGAGGGCGGGAACAAGGGCGGGAGAGAGGGCGGGAACAAGGGCGAGAACAAGGGCGGGAGCGACGCCGGGAACGAGGGCGGGAGCGACGGCGGGAGCGAAGGCCAAAACGAGGGAGAGAACGAAGGCGAGAACGGGGGCGAGAACGAGGGCGAGAACGAGAACGATGGCGGGAACGAAGGCGGGAACGAGGGTGGGGGCGAGGGCGGGAATGGGGGCGGGGGGCCGCCCCTGGGCGCCTCCGGGATTCCTCCGGGCGCCTCGGGAATTGCCCGGGCGCCTCCTCCGGGAGGTCTGTTTGAAGTTTGTTCAAGGTATGTTTGAAGTCTCGTTAAGGTCTGTTTGAAGTCTGTTTGGGGCCAAACCTTGATTGAGGTCTGTTTGAGGTCTGTTGAAGGTTCGTTTGAGGTCTGTTTGAGGTCTGGGCCAAACTCTGCTTCAAAGACTGATTTCCCCGGGCGGCCCTTGGGTTCCCCGGGCGGCCTCCGGGCGGCCTCGGAACGACGGCGAAAAAGGTGGCGAGAATGAGGGCGGAACGAGGGCGGGAACGAGGGCGAGAACGAGGGCGGGAGCGAAGGAGGGAACGAAGGCGGGAACCAGGGCGAGAACGAGGGCGGGAACGAAGGCGGGAACGAAGGCGGGAACGAGGGCGATAACGAGGGCGAAACCGAGGGCGGGAACGAAGGCGGGAACGAGGGCGGGAGCGAGGGCGAGAACGAGGGCGAGAACGAGGGCGGGAACGAGGGCGGGAACGAGGGCGAGACCGACGGCGGGAGCGACGGCGGGAACGAGGACGGGAGCGACAGCGGGAGCGAAGGCGAAAACGAGGGCGGGAACGAAGGTTGGAACAAGGGTGGGAACGAGGGCGGGAACGACGGTGAGAGCAAGGACGGGATCGAAAGCGAAGGCGAGAAAGAGGGCCGAAGTGAACCTCGGGCGGGGGCGAGGGCGGGCGCGGTGGCGAGGGTGGAGACGAGGCCGGGCGCGGGGCCTGGAATGAAGGGGGGAGCGAGGGCGAGATCGAGGACGGGACACCGAGGCCGAGGAGCGAAGACTTACGCTCGATGCGGAGGAGGGGAGGGGGAGGACGAAGAGGACGATGAGGAGGAACAAAAGGACGAAGGGAGGAATGGGGGCCGAGGGCAGAGGAGGGACCGCACGTGGAGGGCGACATCGACCAAGAGAAGAGGAAACGGGACTAGGGAGGCCAGGGGGGGGAAGAGGAGGAGGATGAAAGGGAGGGGATATAGGGAGGAGGGAGGAGACAAACTGAGGAGGAGGGGGGGTGAGGGGGGGGAAGAGGGGGGCGCGGACGGGGGAGGAGGGAAAGGGAAGAAGAGGGAAGCGGAGGAAGGAGAGAGGGGATAGACGAGGTAGGAAAGAGAGCGATGGGAGGAGGGAGGGTGGGCAAGGAGAGAGGAAACAGTAGAAGATGGGGGGGAGGAGGCCTCTCCCTCGTCCCCCCATCCTGCGGCGAGGCCCTCCTTCGTTTGCAGGAAGACAAGCGCACTTGCGCAGCGCGCCCCTCGCCCTCCACCCGGGACCTGCAAGAACTCTGATGGTAGTATGATTCAGCTCTGTTTTGGCTCTGGCCTGAAACTCTGACTCACTTCTGGTTTGGCTGAAACTCTGATGTGGCCCTGGCCTAGCACTCTCATTCATCTCTGGTTTAGCGACAACTCTGCTTCAGGTCTGCTCTGGAACAATGATTTAACTATGATTTAGCTCTGGCTGGGGGCAGAGCCGAATCATAGTGAAATCAGAGTTCAGACCAGCGTTTAATCAGAGTTTCAAGAAATCAGAGATGAAACAGAGTTCGGGGCCAGAGTCTAATGACAGTTTAATGTGTTGGAGGCAAACTAACATCAAAAGCTATACTCGAAAAGCTCTAACAGTACTCTGGTTAATACTCGGAGTATTCATGAAGCTTTTGGAGTTTAGCTTTTGAGGCTAGTTTGCCTCTCAAACACACACAGACACACTTAAGCCTCAAGAGGTCTGCCATGGCTCCCAAGAGGGCCCTAAGAGGGCCTCAAGAGCGCCCACGAGCGCCCCAAAAGCGCCCCTCGAGGGCCCCAGGGGGCGGCGTGCCTCCTCCCCCTCCCCCTACCCATCCTCCTCCTCCTCCTCCTCCTTCCTCATCCTCCTCCTTCCTCCTCCTCCTTCTCCTTCCTCATCCTCCTCCTTCCTTATCCTCCTCCTCCTCCTCCTCCCCTCGCCCCCCCGCGGGCCCCACGGATGGCCCGAAGAAGCCCTCCCAAGCTGCCCCTTGCTTCGGAAAATCTCACTGCTCATCCTGGTTACCCGCATTGTTTCACTATACGTGTGTGGATTCGTCCCTTTCTTCCCGCCATTTCTCATGGGCGGGGTTTCTGAACGGGCTGGTGAGGATACGCGAAGCGTGAAGGAATAGTACAACATGTTCTCAAGTAGACTAGGAAGAATAACACCGAGACATGTCTGAAGCAAAAATGTTCCTCGATGCGATGCCGCATCTAGCACAAATAAACATGCGCACGATAATAATATAACAAAAAATGTTTTCCAACTAATTCATCATTCAACACATCCGTGCATCCGTCAATCAATCTCATTGCTTCAGTAGGCCAATCAATACATCAAAGACACAATCGGTTCACAATTGTTCCACAGCTAGATCTTAATACATGCGCAATTGGTTCACCAGTGGTTCACTGCCGATTCACAACGATGGGCTATAACTAAGTTTGATTGGTCTACCGACGGCTGACAATGCGACACCATGCCACCTGGCGGGAATGGATCACACATGTATTCAGAATTGAAAGATGTATGTGTGCACGTCCTGCACATGGCTCCAAACTGATCCGATGCTGACTCGCAAGTGAATCATAATTCGTTCGCGGCTAGATTACACAATGGGATCACACTCGGTTTCTCAAGGGTTCCCGGCCGGCTCAGAAGTACTTGCCACAGGACGGTCTCATCTAGCTCACTCCGTGCATTCGGTTGCTCCCCGATTACCCCATATGGGTTCTGCGCATTCCGTCCCCGTACAGGGCGACCGGATCGTACGGACGCGCAGTAAGTATGCAAGGCCTTTGGACGCCCAAATTGAAGCCAAAGTTGAAGCCCATAGCCCATGGCTGAAAGCTTGGATGGGCCGAGAACCAAGGATACCCTTGGAAACTTACTAGTCCTTGTCAAACTTATGATGCGGTTCGATTGCACTGACGGGAGACCTCTCCCATGCCTCCCTCCTGTCGACAAGAAGCCTGTCGTCTGGCCCTTGCTTCGCATTTCGTCGCGCTTGCTGCTCAGATGATCGCTTACAGTGCTCACCCGCCGCTGAAACAACGAAGAGAGGATCGCTGATCGCCTTCTCAGCCTCCGCCATGGCTTGTCTAAGCGCCACCTGGTACCGGGAAGGTGCATATTCTCAACTGTGCGACTCGTCACTCTGTGCAAATTGTCCCTCCCAATTCGCCCCTCCCCTTCCCCATGCCCACCTTCCCCTCTTCCTCATCCCCCAGTCATTGCCATCCTCCTTCACCTTCTCGTCCTGTTCGTCCTCCTGCTCCACCCCCATCCTGCTTCCCCTACCCCGTTTCGTTTGTTCATGTCTTGTCCCCACCTTCTTGTTGTCCTCGCCATCCTCATCCACCTCCCTGCGGGGCGCAGAGGTTGGCGGGCACGCCCGACGTCAAGTGCAGAGCACATCGGAGCAACGCTCGCGATAAAGGCTGAGGCCAAACTTCCGAAGACTTCAAGCACAACTCGACTACATCCTGTTCGCACGAGATTGCTCTCAAGACCAGAAGCCGCCTTCACGAACTCCGACCCCAACAGGAGCCCATGCCTGGTCAACTTCTACGTAGGTTCGAAACCAGCGCAGGATCGCAATGGACCAAAGGAGGGCAGAGAAGGACTGAAGCAGATGGAACAGGTCGACTACAGTGCAGGAGCGGCCGGAAGAAACACTCTCAAGAAACCCAACCCTGAAAACGGTCGGAGGATCTCGCTACGTCGTCGATACATCGACGATGCATCGGCGATGCATCGGCGATGCTTCGTGGACGTCGGCGATGCATCGGCGACATCGGCGTGAAGCAAATCGGGCTCCACATCGAGCCGCATCGGCGATGCATCGGCGATGCGTCGCGATCCTCCGACCCCATCTACTCCGATCCCATCTGGGAGACCTAGAGCCTAGAGGGGTGCTGTCCCGATCCTCTGGCTCCACGCAGGAAAAGGCCTCCCCCCCCGCCAGGAGTGGCCGCTGGTGGGCGGGCCGCCGACCGCTGCACGCGATCCTGCGACGGCAGCGGCCCGCGTGCCCGGGTCTGGCCCCGCCGCCCGAACGCCGCGCAACAGAGAAAGGTCGGTGCGGCGAATGGGCCACTCGGTCGCCCCGGATCGCCGCTCGCTGGCGCAGTAATTACGTGCCTCGCCGCTGACGTTAAAATGTCTGGGTGCGGACAGGAAGAAGGACGCTCGGTCCCCCTCCTTGCGTAGCATGGAGGCGGGCGACCCCGTCGTTGGTCTGACGCTCCGCGGAAGGCTCCGACCAAGGGCACATCGCGCCTGATGCGGTGCCTGCTGCGTATCCGAGATTCTCCTCGGCCTCAGCAACTTTACGCTGAATCTTCGGGGGACCTCGTCTCTGTCCCGTCGCGGCCCTGCCCGCGTCGCATCCGTGCCGGGTCCATCTCGGCCTCGTCGGACCCGTGTCGAATCCGCGCCAAATCCGCGTCGGGCACAAGCAGGGAAACCAACCCTGGGGACGGGCGGGGCCACCCGGAGATGCAGCGCAAGCAGCTGGCCAGCGACGGAGGGTGGGAGGGGCAGGCCGACGAGGCCAGGGGGGTGCGGCACCGATCCAGGAGGCCTGCGCGGACCTCCGGAGGTCTTCGAGAGCGGGAGGGAGGGGGGATGGGAGAGGAGGTTCGCTCGTTCGATCATTCCTGCTCAGGCTGGCTGCGCTTTCCCGACAACTGGTCGTTGTGCTCTGGGCCGCCGCGTTGTGACATCGATCTCTTCCCGCGGTTGGGAGTGAGCACACCTCACTCGACCCCCGCCACAAACAGAGGAGCAAGAAACGGCATAGACATAAACTGTTGACGGTGAGCGCGGATTTCCTGGATCTGAACTGGAACCCCCTCCCTGGCGCGCGGAGCGCGCCAGGGAGGGGGGCCGGCGGCGCCGCCAGGGGGGCCCCAGCGCAGATCCAGGCATTCCGAGCGGAGCGCCAAAAGTTCATGTGTATGCCCTTTTCTGCTCCTCGAACAAGGCTCCGAGAGAGCAGGTGTTGAGGAGATGGGGGAATGAAGAGAGATGACGAGACTGCCAATGTCGAGGCGGCTGCGCCGACCTCGGCCTTGGCTTCCTCGTCGTGCGTGAATCGGCAGCCGTCTCCCCTCTCGCACTTGTCCAGCAAGAAATCCTGACAATGGCTCGCCCATGACTCTTGAGGCGCCCTGGCGCTGCCCGATGGCAATACGCTCCGTCTCCGGCCTTCCCGCTTGGTGGCGTCGGAAAATGTTTGACACTGGGCTACAGTCGGGATGGATTGCAAAGAACACCCGAGCGGACACAAGTCTTGTCCGAGGGCAACCCGCGTCCCGCGCTCCAAGCATGAAGAAGACGGGGAAGATGACATACGAGACGCGGGAGTCCCGTCAATTTTGCAGGGTCGACCTACTACGTAGTCGAACTCGACTCATTACATGCCTTCGCCCAGTCCCAGTGAGACACTAGCACCCCCGCGAGAGTTTGGCAGTCTCCGGCGACGCAAGGGATTTGAACAAGTCATAGCGGGGATCAGTTCCAAGGAATTCTGAACGCGCTGCCCAAGACTGGCACATCAATGGAAACGAATGCCAGAAAAAACGGCACGAGGACGACACGTAACAACCTCTCAAATCCAATCATGCACTCCATCTGAGTGCAACATGCCCGCTTCCTGCTGATCACATACCCGAGGCCTTGGTCAGACGAAGGAAAGACTTCGAGAGCACGTTCGTCCTCACCTTCTGTGGACGTTGACCCTGACGTTGACGTGGCCACCTGCGACCACCTTTCAAACACGCTACCACCACTCTGACATCCTATCACCACATTCGATGACCGCGTGGGACGGGTCAATTCCCTGGTTTGTTTTAGATCCGACATGATGCATCCCACAGGATGTTATTCCATACGTCGCTGCTTCACTGCATGACCAGTCAACACCGAATCGGGAAAACGGATCGGATTGGAACGCGCGTCAGATCGGGCTGCATCGGCACGGAATCGAAATCAAAATCGAATAGGATCGGCTGCGCCACGATACACAGCAGCGCCACGGAGCATCAGACCACACCAGATCGTCGGGTCACTGGGACAAAATCGGATACCGAATCGAATCGATTGGATCGTACTGGTCCTTCTCCTTCCCCCACCTGCAACTGCTGCTGCCTTCTCCTCCATCTCCTACAGCCCTGCAACTGCACTCCCAGGGGGCGGTCCCTGCATATCCCGTTCGGGAGCCCCTCGAAGAGAGGGTTCAGCGGCTTCGGTTTAGGCTTGGCTTTCTTGCTGGCCCAAGAAGTGCCGCCCTTTCCACCTGAGGGGAGCGGACAAGGGAACGCGTCCGAACGGAGGCTACCTAAGAGTATGAATAAGCGGAGTGGCAAGGGTTCGACACTCCCATAGGGTTGATACTCGCATGATGCGATTGGCTCTAGCGGCCATGGTATCTAAAGTCCGCGGAGTTTTTTGACACATTGGATTGTGGAAGCGTGTCATGATCATGACTTCGTGCTCCTCTGATCACAAGCTCACCAACATTGCGAAAACGATCCCCAACCACAGAAAACTTGTGCGCGGCCTGACGCAAGTTCGTCGAGCCGCGTCCGCATGCGGCGACGGTGTCCCCTTTCAAGGGCCTGGAAATGCTGCTCCCAATGTATACATACATATACATTTACACATGTATCTACACAAGTCTGCACATATATGAGATAACCACGACACATGTTTGCCAGTGTGGACCCAAACGGCGGCTTCTTTCTCTCTCGATGTGGAATCGATGTGGCACCATTACTGGTGACAATGTTGCAACCGCAAACTGCAACGCTCCCCGCGAACCCTTCAAACCTCCAAGAACCACGTCGGCAACGAACGTGTTGCATGCTGCATGCCTCAAACTTGCATGTAAGAACTTCAAAAATTCCCGTTCCAACCCCTCCCTTGCTTTTCTCGTCCGGTCCCGCTTTGTCAGTATCCCCTTCTTCCTCCCTTCGGAGCGAATCGGCACGAGTGGGCCGTGGGCGCGAGGCTCAACCCCAAGTGGCCCCGCCAAGATTTTTTTACGAAGAATCGGCACACGAGCTGCTTGCTCGCAGGCTTGATATCCTCTCTCTTCGCATGGCGGAACTCCTGACAGATGGCCGAATTCCAGGAGTGACCGGGGGGGGTCGTTCGTCGCGTCGCGGGCGGGCGGGGGTGGGAGAGGGAACGGCAGCAGGTTCTGAGAGTCCTGTCTTGAGCTCGAGCAACTGCTGTGTTAAGCTCGCGCCACTGTGCACTATTGCACAAGGCTTCTGACAATTCTGTGAATAGCTCGCGCCCGCCTGCACCGCTCTCAATCGCTGTCCATTGTCCAGGGCTCCTAAGACTTCTGTGCAAGGTTCGCGCCAATTAGGAGCACTCTCAGCGGCTCCATGTTTTACAGGGTTTCTGGAACTTCTGTGAATGGCTTGTGCAATTTTGCACTACTCCCAGTGGCTGTCCGGGAAAATATGCTGCCACTCAAGCCGCCGTTTTGAAGCTGCTGCGTGTCTTAACCCTCACCATGTCTTTGCTGTGGTCCACGAGAGCCGCCGCAGGTTGCTGGCGCCCAGCTGTGAGGCGCTCACGCAGAAAGAAAATCACTCATCGCCAACGTCATCTGCAACCGTCATCATCGTCATCATCAGCATCGTCGTCATCGTCCCCAATGTCGTCATCTAGTTTATCATGATCATCGACATTGTCGTTGTCGTCGCCCTCGTCACCAATGTCAACATCATTATCATCACCCACTCGCCCGAGTTATGGATGTGCGATTATGCTTGTTTGGTTTCCTGACAGTTGCAAAGTGGCAAATCACGCACGAAGCCGAAATAAAACTGAGACTCCCCGGGTGGATCAGTCTTAGCCCGGAATGCAGAATTCACCCGCTGAAAAACCATGTTTTTGTATGCAGCCGTTTGGCACCTAAAGCAATGCCGTGCGGAGCAACAAAAGGAGCAGCGCGAAACTGAAGCCCCTGGTTTGCACAAAAACACGTGTAACCTGTAGTGCGATGCTCCGCGGGACAACCATTCAAGATCGCGTCCCATTGGTGCATTGCGCTGGCTGCGCTCTATCTTCCTGGTTTCCCTGAACGCGAACGGCGGTGACATCAATATCTGTATTAGCAAAATATGGTAAATTATGCTGCAACTCGAACCCGTCCACTGTTGGTTCTCGCACCAAGTGTCCACCACGGCTGAGAGCGAAGCGTTGTGGTATGGCAGTTAGCTCAGACCATTGGGGCATCAACAACACATCGGCGCACCCCATCGATAACGTTCCCAACATTACCGTGTGTGCAAGGTCAGCGCATGCTTCATCGTCAGAATCCGCCGACCCCAGAAGCGTGTGCGACTCAATTGCTCACCTGTGGACCACGCTCCCACCACGTCGCGTCATCCCCACCCCTCGTAACCCGAGCTACTATCCCCTCTAGCCCGAAACGCACCCACACACCCAGCCGTGCCCTGGCATGTTCCACCGCGCTTCCACCGCGCGTCTGCGGAGCCTTCCTCGGGACCCCTTCCGCCGCCTGCGGAGCCTTCATCGGGACCCTTGTTCTGGGGACCCTCCACCCTTAAATTGTTTGCCCCAGCTCCACCCCGCTCGGCACCCTCACCCATGGAACTTCTGTTCTTGGGACCCCCACCACACATTTTCTCGCCCACAAACGCCCAACGCCTCCCTCCTGGCCCCGGCACCCTCACCCACGGAACGTCTGTTCTTGAGACCCCCCACCGCACATTTTCGAACGAAATCTCGCCCAAAACCGATAACGCCCCCCTTCCTGGCCTCAGCACCTCCGCCCACGGAACTTCTATTGCGACCACCACACATTTTCTCACCCAAAACCGACCACCGCCCCCCTCCAGGCCCCGGCACCCCCACCAACGGAACTTCTGTGTTTGGGTCACCCCACCGCACATCTTGTCGCCCCAAGCTGACCAACGCCCCCTTCCTGGCCCCGGCACCCCCACCCACGGAACTTCGGTTCTTGGGGCCCCCACCGGACATGTTTTCGCCCAAAACCGACCAACGCTCCCCTCCTGGCCCTGGCACCCCCACCCACGGACATTCTGTTCTCGGGACCCTCCACCCAGAGGATCCGTAAGTACTAACGCAAGGCTTGAGATATGACGTAAAAGTATAAGTCTTAGCCTAAGACGTGAGATTTCAGACTAACCCTTTGATATCATGTATGTGGTCTCTATTTAAGGACGCATTCAGTGAAACGTTTCTTTTGGTGCATATCGCATGCGCCACGACGCTGAATGATTACGCCTCGCGTGAAATCAGTGGTAAACCTTGCCAACATCAGCCGATGGCGGCGTTTGGGCCAAATGTGTCATGGGATCGTTGAGGGTGCACCTTATCTCAGATGGAAATGTCGTTGCCACGCGCTGCCGCGGGGTGCGTTTGTTCGTGGAATGAGCGCCCGGAGGTGGGATGGGGAGCAACGCGTCGCACTCAACGCGCCCAGCGCACCTTTCAAACATATATCAACGTCTTGCGAGTGATAGGGGCGCAGTCAATTACATGTCCGCCAGTTCGGCGGTGGACAAAAACTGCAATGACCGCCCGAAGCGCTGGGCACGGGCGCGGGACGCCGATCGTTTCCACACGTTTGCCTTTCCGAGGGCAGCGAAGGGAAGCACCAGGATGCCACCCCGCCAAAACAGACGCGGCGCACTCGACCCAATGGCGAAAGGGAGGAAGAAGAAGAGAAGAAGTAGGAGAAGGCGGTGTAGAAGGAGGAGAGAGAGGAGGAGGAGGAGGAGGAGGTGGAGGAGGAGGAGAAGGAAAGAGGAAGAGGACAAGGAGGAGGAAAAACAAAATGAAGGAGAGAATGGTGATGATGGCGATGACGATGATGATGAGGATGGGGAGGCCGAGGGGGAGGCCGTCTCCTCCTCTTCCTCCTCCTCCCCCGTCCTTCCTCATGTGTCTCTTCTTCCTCCTCCCACATCCCCCCCTCATCCTTCCTCCTCCTCCCTCGTCCTCCCCCTTCTAATCGTCCCTCACCCTCCTCCCTCTTAACCTCCTTCTCCTCCTCCTCATCATCATCCTTCTTCCCCTGTTCATCTCTAATCCCTTTTTCCCCCACCCCTCCTCCTCCTCCTCCTCCTCCTCCTCCTCCTCGTCCCCCTCCTCCTCCTCCTCCTCATCATCATCATCCTCCTCCGCATCCCAGTGCGCCTCATATTTACCGTCGTTCTTCTCATATGCCCTTGCGGTCGTCGCCATCGCCGTGGTTCCCACTGCACTATGCCTCTTCTGCTACAACTGTTGCAGCAATACCGTAACACATCGATGAATTCGCCGCATCAGCTGAACTTAAAGACCCTACATCTCTAAGAATCAGCATCGGTGATTTCGCGCGCAGAGCGCACATGCTCGGGCTCAGGGGGGGGGCTATCACAGACTCGGGCTCGGGATTCCACGCGTCATGCACGATTCTCCGATGAATTCACGTGTCTGTTAGCGGGAACACGCCATAGCCGAGGTTGCGAAGCCATTTGTTCAGGATGCCCCGAGGAAGCGGACGGCCAATTTCGCCAGGCACATCCACGTCACGCTTCGTGCACCCATGGCGCGAACATCAACGCGATCAGACGATGCTGCTCCATACGTCGCAAGCCCCTCGCCTGGAACAACATAACCAGATGGGACGAAGAGCTCCTGCGGCGCTAATGTGCACTGTGATTCGTGTGATTTGCCACCCACGAAGCGAACAGAACGCGCACGCGCTCCACCCCGACGAGTGAGGCAACGATCGGCTGCAGCGGCCACCTTTGCCCTTGCTTCCGAATGGGCTACCATCGGGATTCACTGCGTGCCGGTTGTAGGCCTCCTGGACGCACCACGCCAAGAAGGGGTCCCCCGACGGTGGCGGACCTGGCGCCCGCTGAGATGTCAGCAACCAGCAAACTGCTGATGATCATGACGAGAAAAGGAATGGTCTGCACCGCAATAATGGCACAACAAATGCCCAACATGGACACGTCACGGGAAGTCGGCAGCACGTTACCCCCCCGCCCGCCCGCATTTTCCGCGCCCACCCACCCCTTACCCGCCCCGATAAAAGCAGGAAGAATTGTCACGCATCTGAGATCCTCATCCCCCCTGTGGCACAGTGCGAGGCGGGATGCTCCTACGCACAAGCTGCGTGTCTGCCACTCCGCAACCCATGCCGAGAGCTTCAGCAGTCTCGCGATGAATGGTGAGGCCGATCTCTGAAACACGACGCGTCTGCTCCCACCACTGGGGGGACGGGCACTCCCACAGCTGGGGGGGGTGGGGAAAAGACTCCACCGTGCTGAGCGCCGGCCAGGGAAGGAAGAGGGGAAGAACAGGCACGGTAGAGATGCGTACAGGGATTTGTCCAAATCCGACAGCGGCCGCTGTTGGGCATGCGACTGTCTGTCCAATGTGGACAGCGTCCTGCACTGCCCCCATCCTTTCCGTCCCAAGTGCAGTCCTCCCGAGAGGGGGAGGGGAAGGGCACAGGAGAAGAGAGAGGGCACACGAAGGCAGAGAGACGGACGCACGACGAGCGAGGACAAGAGGCGGGGCAAAGACAGAGAGAGAGAGAGAGAGAGCGAGGGACGAGCGACTAGGGCGAACGACCAAAGAAACGCGAGCGGGGGATCAGGAGCGTTCCAGCACCAGGTAACTCTGAGACAACGGGGTTCTCTCCCACCCGACCCACCTCAGCTCAACAAAAATTCTCTGGACCCCTCCTGAGGCCCACGCTGACCTGTTGTTCGAGGCGCGTCCAGCCGTGGCGACGAGAAACCTCCAGGAAGCCTAAACAGGACGGAAAACGCAAGGGAGGGCCATGGTTAAGGATCTCTGGATCTGGCGCGAGAGCATCAGATCCATGGATTGAGGAAAACGCCCCCGAAACACTAGGCCAGTCCCACCTAATCTTGCGACGGAGCGCGCCTATATTGCTTGGAAGCGGGACCCGTCGCCAGTCCACATGACTTCCTGCATATCTGCGGACCCTGGCCGCTCGCTCCTCTTGAGGGCTTCCTCAGCCCAACTCAACCAATATCTAAGCCCACCTCCAAAGCCGCGCTAATCCACAGTCCGGCCGTGAACAGACCGGCGCTTTGGCTGAGCCCCGTTCGCGCTGAACCCCGTCACCTGCCAGCTAAAGAAAGCAGGGCTGCGGTGCCCCCGACGGTGGACTGCTCCCTCGTCCTCCCCCCCCCCCACCTGGGTTTGGACGCCCGACATGGGTATGGAAGAACTGGGTACGACGCCCAGCAACAACTGTTGTCCAAAACCGACAGCGGCCGCTGTTGGGCAGGCGGCCTTCTGTCTCAAGTGGACTAGGCCCGCGGCGGCACCGACAGCGAATCCGGTTCAAAATGAACAGGACATGCTGTCGGTCGTCGTGCCCATTCTTTCCGTACCCATTTCGATCGTCCCGACTGGGAGCAGAGCTCGCAGCGCGGGGCGGGCCGACCGTGCTCCTGCACGAGAGGGAACGGCACCACTCCGCCGTCCACGAGAGCGCTGAAGAACGCCCGCGCGTCCTTCGGGTAGGGGGTCGACAACAGAGTTGACTTACCCCACAATTGACATGTTCGTCGCATCTACGATACGAATACGCCGAATAGATGTAGAGATGCGCGCGTTCGACGTTTTTCTCGTGGATCCGACGAACAAATCAATGTTGGGGTAAATCGATGCTGTAGCCGATCCCCTGCTCGAGTCCTTCGGGTCCAAGACCCACTGCGGCTCGCCTCCGGAGCGGAGCAGCCGGGCGGCCGAGGGGAGGGACCGAGGATGCCCCAGCGGGAACTACCCTTCAAACAAGAGTCCTGTGTGTCTTCGCATTGAAGTTCGTGCGAGATCCCTCCCGTTCCTAGGATACTTTGTTCTGGTTTCTGAAAGTCGTATGGGTCCACATCATGATTCTGGACTCATACGAATTCTCCGGTGCTCCTGTGAATTGTCACGCTTGCCTGCGGGATCCGATGGATCCGTCCAGAAAACGAGGCAATGGGAACCAACCCGCACAAAACATCTCAAACACGTGAGAATCTAGCATTTACGCAAATGCATTACAGTCACGACTAAGCCATGGGCTATTGAATATTCAGGATAAGTAACACACGATATGTTCAAACCAACCTCTTTACCAGCGCGGGGTCCAAAACAATTTGACATTGCACGTTCGATGTGAACCTTGCGCGGTGCGTGGGTGTATGTATGTGTGTATGTATGTATGGTATCCATGTGTCGGTGCCGCAGGTGATCGTGCAGATGATGACAACAGTGGCAGCGTGCGACGATGACGAACACGGCGGTAAAGCGATGGCGTCGAGGAAGTGATGGTGGGAAGATGTGCGCACACAAGATCAACAAATCAAACACACGTTGTGTTGACAATCTGCTGGTTGCCCGTATATTGTTGAAGAGCTGTATCTTGAAATGCTCGAAATCACATGCTTTTACACGGGTTTCGACACGCGCGCGTGGCGGCACGCGCGTGGCCCGCATACTATGATGTGTTACGAATTCAAGCGTTGGGCGCATGCTAGACCAACGAGCATGCATTCCGTGGTGACGTGAAAAGGCGGCTTTGGGATGAGACTGCTCACATCCTACGGCTGTCCCGTGAATTCAGCAAGGGCGCGCCGGCGATTCATCTGTAGTTCGCTTGATGAAAGGGCCACGCTGGGATATATATATATATATATATATATATATATGTATGTATATATACACATACATATATATACACACATACATACATATACATATACATATACATATACATAGACATACACACATATATATATATACAGCTGTACGAATTTAGCGCATACCTGCATGCATTGATAAAACTGACCTGACACAACTCCCAGCCCGTCCGGGGAGCCTGATTCTGGAGCGCCCCAGGAGAGCCCAAGACGGCCCCAGATGGCCCCAGGAGGCTTCAGGAGGGCCCGACGAGCACCCCCAGACGGCCACGGTAGACCCAGGACGGCCCAAGATGGCCACTCCGCGGCCCAACGGGCTCCCCAGATGGCTCAAGGGGGCGCGAAGACGATTCCCACGAGGCCCCCAAGAGGCAATCATTATATGTTTCCCCTAGGTTTACGTGCAATTTTCCCATACTCGGCTTTTCGGTTTCGAGAGCGCCCGAGACGGCCGAAAACGCCCCCGAGATCGCTCCAAGATGACCCAAGAGGGCCCCAGCCCAGGACGACCCAAACGGGCCCAAAACAGCCCCAAGATGCTCCAAGAGGGCACACAGAAGGGACTCCAGACGGCCCATGAGAGCCCCAAAACAGCCCAACTGGGCAAGACGGCCCAGGAAGCCCCCGAGACTGCCTGAAGACGACCTCCAGAGACCCCGAAGAGGGCCCACTCTGGGCCCTGCACTAGTACGGCGACGGTCAGAACATACTTACATGCATGCGTGCATACCGACACACATGCATACACACATGCATGCATACATCCATACATGCATACATGCACATATTAATACATGCACATGCATACATACATACACATACATACATACACACATGCATCCATGCATGCATGCAAACATAAATACATACATCCGTAACATGCGCGCAAACATACATACCTACACATACGCACATGCATGGACACACACATACAAATCTACATGCATACCTACACATACATACATGCATACATACATACACATACATACATACATACATACATACATACACACATAATTACATACACGCACACATACATGTATAAATATATGCATATAAATACGTGTGTGTGCATGCATGCATACGTGTACGCATGCATGCATGCATGCAAACAGTCATTCAAACAAACACGTACACGCAACTATGTGCGTATGTGCATGTATGTGTATATGCGAGTGTATATGATGTACCAGTGCACAGGCGTGTGTACTCGTGTTTGCCTATGTGGGTGTATGTATGCCTGCATGTGTGCATGTACGCATGCGTGCATGTAGGCTTGCATTTGTTTGATTACCTCTAAGCCGGAAACCAGCTAGGTTACATAATCCCGCTAAGAATGCACGCCAGCTGGAAGATCGCACGCCCTCTCGCAGACCCTTTCCCCCGCTCAGGCCCAGTACGGCAAGTCAGCGTGGCGCAACATACCGCACTATACCTTCACATCGATGGTGGTGGGGCCTCCAATATGCCACGCACCCTCTCCCAACACCGCTACACCGTCACAAACACAAGTCACGTTACACATCGTACTGTCTCTGCAAGGATGCGTAAGTTAGCTCCGTTCTATGGCCCCTCTCCGGGCCCGCTTGTCCCCCGGTGTTGTGTGGTCTGCCGTCCGTGGATATCGGCTAAGACATTGCTCATACAGTAGATCCCACTGCCCCTGGCACGCCGCAACCCCCTGGAGAAACTCCACAGCCCGCCGCATTGCCATTGTCTCCGCCTTCAACGCAGTGCCTCTCTCCCCGAAATACATAGACTCACGATACAGGTCCCTCCACTCCACGGTCGTCCCAGAGCCCCTGCATCGTACGCGCACGTCCATCCCTCCTCCCATTGATCCTTCCCTGCACCCACCGTCCGTCTGCACCCATAATTGTAAAGGAATGCGCACCACCCGTCGTAACATCACACTCGTCATCATAAACCCTCCCTCCCCCTCTCTCCGTCGTGACCCTGATGTGGCTAATTCGTCGGCCCTTGCATTGAGTTCCCGCGGGATGTGTTCCACCCACTGTCCGCCCATTCGGGCATTCCTCATGGTTCCGTCGCACCACGTTTGGTACAGTGCTCGCTGCATTTTTTGTACTGCTGATACCCACTTCGAATCCTTACACACAGACACACCACAGATCCAGTCCACAAGTAACTGACTATCAGACTGTATCCAACATATGGCCTGAACGTTGGCTGGCAGTGGGAAACCTCGGCCACTCGATCGCCAATCCGGGTCGTTTGTCTCAGCAAAGCGCATTGTTTTCGCACGCTTCGCCGCCCTGTCTGTCGCCACCACCTGCGGCGCAGTGTCGGACCGCTGCTCGTACGCACACCTACGGGCCTGTTGTTGTTGCAGCCGGAGGGCGTGCAATTGCCTACTATGCAAACCGTACTTCTCCAGAGTCGTCTGAATAAATGTCGCCTTCCCCTTCGCCCAACGCGGCCCCAAACGTTGCATCCAGCTCACCCCAAACGCCTGTACGAGAAGATGTTCCGGCGTCGCTCGTTTCTTCCACCCCGCTCGGTGCAATCGCACGGTCGGGTCTAGCTTCCGATACTTGCCGTGGTGTCGCCCGAATGCTCTCTGGTGGGTGACATCATGACGCCACGAGGCCTGGCTGTTGAAACTCCACATATCCCACGCCTGCGTGTGGAACCCTCCCAGGTCGCGCTTGTCGTGTAGGTCCCCAATAAGATCGTAGAACCGCCCCGTGATGATTTCTAGCAGATGGCCAGCATTAGTGAATGCCGTGCGTGCCGTGCGGTTGGCCCCACGCATGTAATTTTCCATGGTTTGGTGCGGCTCCTTCCGAAAACGGCATAACTAACGTAGAATCCCAATTTCGAATTGCTGTAATTTGGTGAGTTCCGTTTGTGACATTGTACCGCGTTCCATCCCCCACGACAAAACAGATTGGACCGTTTCTCGGTAACGCTGAATTTTTTCAGTTCTGGAGAGGAGCTGCCCCCGGAACCCGGGCTCAGCACAATAGCACTTCCACGCTTTACTGATTCTGTGCTCCACCCCCGAACCCCCGTACCTTCACAATGCACCACGGTTCCCAGCAGTTCCGTCGTAACGCACACGGGCACGTCGTAAGCCACCACATCCGCGGGTACTGGGTACCCCTCGCTGTTGGGGCACGGGCCCAGCCTCGCTAAACCTACACATGCAGGCGGAATCTCGCGACAGCGCGGGTAAGGAAACTGCCACCTGACGCACTGTACCTCATCACTCTGCATTGGGGTGAACGTGCACGCGTCGTGTCGTCTGACAAGGGTAACAGGGGTCATGCGTGGTCGCAGGGAATACTTCGATTCCTTATGGGAAGAGACCGATGGGGCATAATCATATGCAAATTGTTGACGATTCACAGATCCCCACCAAACCCAGTTCCGCTCTGTTACGGACGCTGTTCACTTTGCTGTTTTTCCTTCGCTTCGGCGCAGCCCGCCCTAGCTTGCTCGGCGTTCGACTTGTTTGCGCGCGGCCGCGTACCAAAAAGTACCCCCACCAAAAAACATCCAGAAACGATGTCCAGGGGAGTTGAGGTGATCAGGGAAGTGGGGGAGCATGCAGAAGAACACAGGGCGGGGGAAGCCGTCCGATGCCCGAAGAGGGGGAGAGTGGTGGTGGAGGAGGAGGAGGAGGAGGAGGAGGAGGAGGAGGAGGAGGAGGAGGAGGAAGGCGGAAAGGAGGAAGGAGGAAGAGACAGTGGACAAGGAGGAGGAGGAAAAGGAGGAGGAGAAGAAGGGGCATCCTGGCGAGCCCAGGGCCTTTTTTGAGCGTCTTGGGTGCCTCGGGGATCCTCTTGAAGCCTCTTGGGGGCCTCGTGGGGGTCTCTTGGAAGCATTTTGGGCGCCGCTTGGGGCCGTCTGGGCGCCATCTTGGGGCGCTCTGGGGAGCCTTAGTAGCGCGCTTGAGACCATCTTGGGGGAGATCGATCAAAGAAGAGGGGTTCCTAAATCCGCCTCCCCCCTTGGGAGCCCCACGAGTGGCCTCTTGGGGCGCTCTTGGGGCGCTCTTGGAGCGCGCTTGGGCGCCCTTGGGGCCGTCTAGGGGCTGCCCTGGGTCCCTCCTGGGGCCATCTTGTGCCATCTTGAGGCCGCGGATGGCCAGTGAAAGCGAATAGGCGAGACAGCAACACACACATTGATTTCCCATAGGTTTTGGAATGAGTTTGGCCTCGTCGGGGCCTCTCCGTGGGGAGCTCGTTGGCCACTTGGAGCCGTCTTAGAGCGGTCTTGGGGCCTCTTGGAGCATCATCGGAGCCATCTGGAGGCATCTGGGGGATTCTGGGGCCATCTTGGAGCTCATCTTGGGCTCTCCGATACGCTCTTGGAACCATCTTGGGTCATCTTGGACGCTCCAACCCCTCGCGGGACCCCTCGTCCAGGTCCAAAGGAGGGGGTGAACCCCTCCCCGAAAGGGAAGAAGGGGGTTGGACGAGGAAACCACCTACGACCCAGAAGGCAGCTGGGGTTGCAGTGCCCAGGGGGTACCGACTCCCCCCGCGACGGGTGGTGGAGCCTACCTCTTAAAAAGAGAATATGCGTGATGAAAGCCATGTCGGGCAAACTACGTCGTGCAACGCGTGGACCATTATCTGCCTGGGGCAACGTTGGCGGCTTAGGCTGTTTGGTGAAAGCCATGGGTGCAATCAATTCGGGGCCAGCCACTCGGCGCAATCTACGTGGTGCCCAACTGCGCGGCGCAAATCATTACGACAACCTTCAAGTCGTCAAATCCACTGTTCGCACACACGTCCCATCCTCCAGCCGCAACTTGGTTGGCAAAACCCATTCGGCAAATATTGTGGTTACACGTTGGGACTCGCTGGAGCACTTTTGCGGCCGCGCTGGCGACCTCACATTCGCGCGCAAAGCGACCAACTGGTTTGGCACAACTGATGCGGCCGGGATGGCGCTTCCCGACGGGCACTCTCGAGCGCATCTCAAACACCGCGCTGGCGCGCGGGCGTTTCAGTGTGGGTCGAAGGCTCGGGCGCGCGCGGCATCATGATGACGTCGACAACGAAGATGATGATAGCGATGGCGGTGGCCACGATGACGCTGACAATGACGACGTGCAACGCCCATGGCGGCGCCGATGCTGGTTGACGGCGGCGATGATAATGTCCACGTGCTGGCGGTGAAGCTGATTGTGCACACGGTGGCGGCGATCACGACAATTTGCGATGACGATGAGCGCGGTGATGCGATGGCGCAAATGGAGGTGGAGAGGAAGTGCGCGCGCAAAACTCCAAGAAACCTGGCAGACTTGTTGCTGGCTGGCAAACATTAGATGTTTCAGATGTAATTGCAAAATACCTTGTACATGTATCAAGATAGATGTAAGTCGGCATTATCACAGTCACCCGACATGCAAAGGTGATGATATCATCACTCGTGTCTATCAGTGTTTTGCTGAGTGTCTCTTTTGTTCAAACAACCCACTATTGTTTCCACCTTGCTCCCCTATTGCTATCTCATTTGTCATATCAAGATGCGCCACCGTGCCTCTGGGCACAGTCGGCGTGCCCTCAAGTCCATTGCCTAATCCCTGGAGCCTCAGTTCTCAGTCCTGAGGAGTCAGAGCCGAATCTGCCGAGTCTCCGGGGTTTCCCGCATGCCCCCTGGGCTCCGTCGCGGCTTGTCGCATGACTTTAATTACGAGGCCCAAGAAGGCCGCAAGGCGGGCGCAGAGGGCTCCAAGAGGCCTCCAAAACAGCTCCGGACGACTCCGATGCGCCAGCCGATCGCCCCAAGATGGTAAAGCTGGCCCCAAAACGGCCCCAAGAAGCCGCCAAGACACCCCAAGAGGACCCGAAGAGGCCTCCCAAGAGGCCCCACGAGGTCAAAATCATTGAAGGATTGTGGCGTTCTCCTCATTTTCGCCATTCCGACGCTCTAAGACGGCCCAAAGAGACCCCCCAGACCACCCCAAAACGGCCCAAGAAGCAACCACGAGGACCCCAAGACGGCCGAAGAGCGCCCCAAGGCGGCCCAAGAGGCGCCCAAGACGGCCCCCAAAGAGGCCGCCGCGAGGCCCAAAAACGCCCCCCAAAAACCTCCAAACTGCCTCCTAGAGACCCCCGAGAAGCCTCCCACGAGACCCCAACGAACATCCAATATGCATACCCACGATCCCGGCACGGTGGCGGGATGTGCCGAAAGTTTTGTTTTGCTCAAGAGTCGGAGGGCACCTGTAAACGCACAGCACTGCAGAAGCCATACAACATAGCACGGCAGTTGGGGGGGGAGGAACGGAGGCAGGAGCAAGACGAAGCACACCCCGTGAGAGCGACGTCAGGGACCTGCCAGCACAAAGCACGAACGCCAGGCGACGTGAATGCCATGTGTATAGCGCGGTGTGAAAGCCACCGCGCGGCTACGACAAATTTGGGAATTTGATATACACAAGAAAAATGATCACAGCAATTACGTCAGGGCGCCTGCTGCGCACATGACGCCCCGGCGCAGCACGCTCAGCGCCGAGGAGCGCTGGAGAAAAGGTAATGCGCTACCGGCAGTGTCCGATGCGTTTGCCGTCGCGGGTGATCGCCGTTCCTCGAGTCAAAGGGCGCGTGCGCCCCCGGGCCCAGGCCTCGCGCTTGGCCGCCCGATCTTGCTCGTTCAGTGCTGCCAGCACGGCAGCAGGTAGCGGGGCGGCATTAGCCAGCACCCAAGCTGTGCACGCGCAAGATGCATCGCAATCGTGCGCGAAAATTTGTGCCGCAAGCGGGGCGCACGCCGGAACCATTAATGCGCTGTTTAACGGCTAACCGATGCCCATGCTTGGCCCGACAACGTTCGGCCAAAACGCGTTCCGACGAGAAGCGCACCGGGCAGCCTGGGCACTGGTGGCTCAATCCGCGCCCGTCACTAGGCTCGGAGTGTCCTGTCACGGCGGCCCTGTCAAGCAAGACTCAAAGAACTGGATCCTGTCGAGGACGGAGGTCCACATGGCGGTGTCCCGGAGTAGACCAAGCCACGCTTGCAGACCGCCCCGCAAAGAAGGCAGACAACGCGCGAGGCCAAGCGCGCGCACCCGCTCGACGTCGATCCGGATTGTCGGCAACAATGGTAGTTCTGGCTCCCAAGTGCCGGCCTGCAGCAAGGCCAGGAGGGATGGCGGCTGATTCCGGACCAGCCCGCGAAAATACAAAATGTGGCTCGCGCGAATATTCAGCATTCTCTGGCTGCTGTAATCATGGGCCGCAGCGTCGCGGCGTCAAACTTCAGCCCCAGTCCCCAATGAGATGGGGGTAGGGGGCGCCACTGCATGAACTGCATGAGGGGGAGAGGTCCTGTCTAGGCGCGCGCGCATGGGGGAGCATGGGGGGAGCGCTCCGATAGGCAGCGCGCGCGCTCGCCCGCGCGCGCTCGCCCGCGGGGGACCGCACGGAGGAGAGCGGGCGAGTCGGCAAGTGGTTTCGCCCGCCGGCTCGTATTAGCCACCCCTGGCAGTCACGAACAGGGCCCCTGGACGCCCCACGTTACGGTGGGCGAGTCGTAGCTGCGCGCCTCCCCACAGGTCGGAGAGCTTCACTTGTCGGGGATCTACTGACCCTGGTCAATGCAAACCCCGGTCAGTCGGGCTCTGCGGGATCTTCCAAAATCATGCAGGATCCTGCAGGATCCTGCGCCTAAGCCCAAATCAGGACACCCCTGGCTCTGCAAGATCTTGCATGAGCATTGACCCCGCCACTTGAGCCCCGAGCTTGAATGATGACTCGTGTATCCGGCTCCCACGGCGGGACCACATCGAGACCCTCCTCCCTCCTGCCCCCACAGACCCTCCCCTCCCAATCTTCCTCCGCGTCCTTTTCATCCATCCCTCCCATCCCTGCCACAATGCCTCCACGTCCTGACCACCCCCCCCCCGCACCATGCTTCTCTCACACGCTCTCTTGCCTCCCTCCCGTGGCATCGAGCCCAGGAATTTCTGACAGCCGTCACCAGTGTGGGTTTGGCAGGAAGAGACACGTGTCCTAAAGGAAACTAGAGGCCTCCTAGATGGGGTCGGAGTAGATGCAGTCGGAGGATTGCGCCGTATCGGCGATGCATCGGCGATGCATCGGGGATGCACCAGCGATGCATCGACGTCGGCAATGCATCGGCGACGTCGACGTGAAGCAAATCGGGCTCCACATCCAGCCCTGCCGCCGATGCATCGACGACGCGGCGCGATCCTCCGACATCATCTACTCCGAGGCCAAAAGAAACGGGTAGTTGTTTTGAAGGTTAGGGGCCTGGGGAAAGCCCCAGGAATCTGAAAACGGCAAACAATCTTCCGGATCCGTTTCCCTCAGGACCCCTGCCCTTCATGGGGAGAGGGAGGGGGCGAAACGGAGCAGAGAGCCCACGAGGGAGGAGAGGAGGAGGCAGGGCCGCGGAGGATGGGTAGGAGACTCGGGGCGCAGGATTCGCTGCAGCTATGTCCCTTTGCGAAGACGAGGGCAAGATTCATGTTGCTCCACTGGCTGGATGCACGACAGGCAGATCGAGACTTCGCAGTGAAGACGAGGGCAGGATGCAGAACAAATCAGGCGCAACTGCCACAGAAATTTCAGAAAGCCAGCAAATACGAAGCCGTGCAGGAAGTCTCGGGAACACCCTGAGAGGGCACTGAGTTCGCCGTTTCCCAAGACTGCACGGAGGGGACGCGCGAGGCGAAGGAAAAGAAGACGGCGACAACAAGGGAGACAGTTCGGATAAATACATCGGACGTGCACCCCACCCCTCGCATACGTGGGCTCGCCTTGGGTTTCTTCAGCCAGGAGTGCAATGGACCGGTCAACAAACTGCGCAACGAAATCTTGTACACCGTTCGGGTACGCCCCGCTGAGAGCCGCAGTTGCTTACTCCGCGCATCCAGCCTTCCTTCCTGCGGCAGGAGCGTTCAACATCGAATCGATAAACCGAATCGAAGCGCAACGTGCGTCGGATCGGGCTGCATCGGCACGGGAGTCGAAATCGAGTCGGATCGGCTGCGCCAAGATGCACAACGATGCCATGCAAACATCGGGCCACATCGCTCGTCGGAATACCGATATCGAACCTGATCGAGCCAGCTGGAATCGATACCGAATCGAATCGATCGAATCGAAATGGACGATGTGCGGAGCAATTCGTTACCACTCGCAACAAGGGGCCAACGAAACATATCAGCTGAACCCTGCACGTGACTCATCCGCAACCATGGCGGAAATGGATTATTATTGTACATGTGAGATAGATGCAACTGGATGAAGTGAAACGTACAGCATCGGATAGATTGGCTATATGCCATGCCATATCAACGAAAAAGGCATGACGACATAGCTCAATTTCCCGACGCTTGACACCACACATCGAACACGTATGTACAACGTATGTGTATACGATATCTCATGTGCGCCGGGCTGAAACAAAATCGAAATCAACTGATGCAAAAATTAAACATTCAATTGGAAAGTACGTACACCGCTTCCGCTGGGGAAACCCTCGGACTTTGTTCATACATGATGATGCTGATGACGATGATGACGATGATGATGGTGGCTGTGATGCTGGTGATGATGCTGACGCTGCTGATGATAATGAGACGGTCACGGTGGTGATGGTGGTGGTGGTGTTGATGGAGATGAAAGTGGGGGCGACGACAGGAGTATGTGATAACGTGAAATATCAGGGAATGGTGAAAACGTGATGGTGGGGATTATCATGATCGCGATGCTTGCTAGAATGATGATGATGATGACGATGATAGTGGCGAAGGCAAGTATGATGACGGGGATGGTATTGACGGTGATGGATGCAAACATGTAAACGATTAGAAACCATTCTTACCAACAGTCAAATGCGAGGACGGGCTGCGCCGAGTTGCGACAAGACGCCGCGGATTCGCAGGATGGCTGAAATCACTAACGCGTACCAAGGAGCAGCATATATTCAAGAACAATAAAAATGGGGATGGCTGGATGGCGCGTCTTGAGCCCCCGACTGACGGCGCATTGCGCCAATGGGAACCGCGCGAGCACAAATTTCATGAGAACTCCTTTGTGCACGCCGACACTGCGTGAGGACGGGAAGCGCAGGGCGGCGACGAGGCGCCGCGGATCCGCAGGACGGCTGAGAAACACTAACGCATGCCAAATTTGCAGGCATGCTTGCGAGCTGGCCGCGGCGAGAATTACAGGTGCCTCTGGGCAGGAGCAATTATCTGTGCAACGTGGGCGCTGTAATATAAACGGGGCAGGGCCTTGCAGACTTGTGGAGGATGCACTGCAGCACCGCTGGTGGCAAAACGGCCGTCGGGCCTTCTGTCGCCAGAGGAGCTCGCGTCGCTTGTGGGCGCGGGCACACGTGCCGCGACGGAGGCCTTGGCATTTGGTGTCGCGCAGCGGGGTCGCATCCAGCAAACCGAGCAGAGGGCCGACATCCTCCCGCCGCGGGCCCCCCCACGCGCGCATTGAACCGACCAAAAATTACACGGCGCGGCAACGGGCAAGTCGTTTGTATCCGGGGAGGAGGCAGCGCCTGGAAATTTGGGGATTCTCAATCGACCATGGGGCTCCACAAACTAAAGAGGCCCGTGCAAGTGCTGCAGCGAATTCATGTCGACAGAGGCATCACATTGGGCGTGCAGCTTTAAACAAAGATTCAGAACACCGAACAGGCACTCGTCAGATCGCACAGAGGGAGGACCGACGCCATGGCCTCTAGCCCGCGTGAGTGTTACACGGGGCGACAACATGCCAACCGAGCAGCCAGCATGCCTGGGGCCACGAAGATATTTTGGCACGATGCTCAGAGCGGGTCGAATCATATTGCCCACCCAGAGACAGGTCCCAGAAGAGGGCCCAGAACTCATGAATCCAGCAGCACGCACAAATCTCCGCGCCCCAAAAACAGCTCAAGAATCACGGGCACTCTCAGACAGGTTTCTGCAATGGCAAAGGCACCTCGAACGCGGGCTGGCTCAGTCGCTCGACGCGCGCGCCTCCGTGGCGCTGGAGACTGGAGAGGGAGTCGATGGAGTACTTCCGCGAGGCGGCTTCCCTTCTCGCGGCGGCGGGCGCTGCTCCGCGCCCGCCGCCAGCCGCGGCGTCGAATCTCCTCCAGCGTCCAGCAGGACGCCGCGAAGTCGCGAGACGGTCCGGCATGCCGAAGATGGTGGAGGTGGATGGCCCCGACGCGGCTCAGCCCGAGAGCGGCGACCGCCCTCTTGAACCCCCTGGGCGCCACCACGGGGGAGATGAGGAAGAGCGATCCGCGCGAGCGGGCGGCCCCCCCATCGTGGGCCACGGCGGTCGCCCTCCAGCCCTCGCCCTGACGGCGCGTCAGAATGCAGTCGAGACTCGCGGCCAGCCGCCGATGCCGAGGTTGGTCGCCGCGTCGTCGAGCTCGTTCGTCTCGGAGACCTCGCCAACCTCAGGGAAGTGCAGTTTCAAGCTCCAGAAACGGTGAGCCGCGCCTCGGGACGCCACCGGCGGGGCGAGGCCCACTGCTCGAAGCTTGTGGATCTCGCTGGGGCGGCCGTAGATTTCGAACGACAGCCGCGCCGCCGGCGCGGCCTCGAAGGACCGCTGGAGCAGTGGACAGTTGACGACCAGAAAGACCACCCCGATCGGGAGCGCCTGCCGACTCCTCCACGGAGCGAAATTATTCCGCCCCGCGGCGGCCTGGCCGGGCCGGCTGAAGTCGGGCCGCGCCCAGGCGGCGGCAGCGACGAGGCGGTTGGCCTTGCTCGGGTGCTTGCCCTCGTTGAACATATCGCGCGCAGGTGGCCCGCCGCTGCCGCCTGCGCGGCCGCGGTCAGCGCCTGGGGCGCGAAAAGGTTGCGCGTCGCCAGGTAGGCCTCTCCCCCGAGCAGGGCGCACCGAGGCCGCGTCCAACACCTTGACGCCAGGCGGCGGACAGATCTCGGCCGCCCGCTCGGAGGAGTCTGAGCCCGCCTCGCGGCCGCGGCCGGCTTCGCGCCCTGCAGGAGGCCTGGCGACGCCCCCCTGGCGCCCGTGCCCTCGCGGGGCGCACGGCGGCCCTGGGAGACCGAGAAGTCCAGTTGCGAGGCGGCGAGGTCGACGCAAACAGGGCCCGCGGCGATCGGCGGCCCCGCGCCCGCGGGCGCCTGAGCACGCCAGGGCTCAGGACGGCGACCGCGAGCGGATAGCGGGATCGCCAACTCAGTTGGAGGCGAAGCTGGAAGAGCCCGCACCAAAACGGCGATGCGGTGGCCCCAGAGCTTGCCCCAGGACGGCGCGAGCGTGTCTGCGCCTAGCTTGATGCGCTGGCCGCTCGTGCCGCGCGTGATGGGGCCGTCGCTGTCCATGTTGATGTCGTGCTTCTCTGCGAGTTCGTGCTCATCTAAATTAAACTGTCTCGCTAGGCAGTGGCGTTGTGCTTGTCGCTGATGATGCGTGCTGATATGTGGCATCGTGCTTGTTTAAAACGTGGCGACTGTCACTGAAGATGTCGCGCGCATCTACGGCGACGCGCTTGCCCATCGCGCGGAGCCTGTCCGGGGAGGCGCGACTATGGATTTATGCTTGGGCTCTCTGATGATCTCCGGAGCCCAATTGGAGTCGCCCACGCCCCGTCGAGGGCCCGCCCGCCCTGTTGGACCCCGCTGGCATCCACCTCGCGCACAGGTGTGACCCAGAAACCCGGGGCATGGAAAGGGGCGCTGCATGGCGCGGGGCATCGCGCGGGGGCAGGCTCGCATGCGGTGCGAGGCGGCGGCGGCCGTGGGGGAATCACCAAGCGCCAGCATCTTCTTTCCAAGATTATTCGTAATGGGAAAGGCATGACGAAGGTAATAATGGACGGCCCTAGCTTCAAAGATCGGCATTGGCCCCTAGCGCCCCCGCGTCCCCCTGCCCGTGAATTTCTACGACGATCGCTCCACGACAAATTTCGGGGCCTCTAGAAACTCGGCGAGACCTCGCTCCAAGAACGGGCCGACGGGCGCGGCCAGCCGGCCGTCGGCCAGCGGCGCGAAGACGGCGAGGCCCAGACCGCCCGAGTGCGCCAACAGCATATTGCCGCATGCGCTGCCGGCGGGGATTTCCCCCGACAGCTTCTCGCGCGGCACGGGGAGCCGCCGCCGCGGCCTGGGCGCGCGAAAAGGCGGGAACTGTCAGGGCCAAACGCTAGCAAAGACGCGGCCGAGGAAGAACCACCTGCCCCTCGCCAACAAAAGCCGCGATCCACCTGGAGGGCCGCCCAACGACGCCTAACGTCAGACCAGTGCGCGAGCTCTTACAAGGGCCCCCCCCCCATGGCAGCCAGCAGCGGACGTGGATATGAACGACGGACAGACCCAGAAAAAAACACCCGCATCCACTACAGAGACAAGAAAACCTCACAAGCGATTGGAGCCCGCGAGACCCTGGCGACGCCAAACCGACTCGGAATCGCCAACCAACTGGAATCGCTCGAGTCGACGCCCCGACCCGGGGGCAGCGCAGCGCCGCGCCCGCCGAGGGGTGCCGCGCGATAGAGTTCTGGAGGCCATGGGAACTACACTTTTTAGCTGGATCCTGAAAACCAGAAATCCAACTCCGGAAATTACTCCGACGGAAGAACCCCACATAAGAATCCTCTGGGCGAATCTGGAAAAAGCCATCACCGTCGTCCTCGTGGTTGGTGAGGCGTCCTGGCTGTCTCTTCTGCGTATATTTCCTCTCGCCTTGGCGCGGGCCCCCCTTCCACTCCTTACGTTGTCCCCATCCTCGCCCCCCTGTTTGTTCCGCGCCCCGCCACCTCCTCCCCTTCCTGTTGCATGAGCGCGCATGTCGATGTTCCTCGGCGCCGTCGCCGCCACGGCCAGCACAGGCGCGTTCTCTACTGGTCACGTCGCG